GAGAAGGTTCTGTTCTACTTCTAGTCTCCTGATAGCTTTTACCATGAACAGCTGTAGAATTTAGTCCAATACTTTTTCTCCAACTAGTGACAAAAGTGTTTTCCCCCACTGGAATGATATCTTGAGTTTCCAAGGCAGTCAATTTTTAAAGCTTATAGAAATTACTATCTTCTACATGTATTGTATTTAAAATATTAACAGCAGTAACATTCAGTTTGAAAAGAAACTTGAAGTGAACATAGTTGCATAGAGGTATTTTCCTAGTTTCAGTTTTTTGTCTTTATATACTATTGTTTTGATGCATATAGTTGCATAGGTTTTATAAATTGACTTTCTATATTTCATAAGTACATTTTATAGAATTTTATCATTGTGCAAATAAAAATAAAAATATCTAAGCTTCTTATTGCTTTTAAGTTTGAAATAATAACAGATATTAATATATACACTATTGTATAAAATTTTACTACGTAGTTGATTTTTTTTTTAAATTACTTAACCATGATGGAAGCACTAATATAGAACTTAAAATAATCTGCTTCCACACATATTTTGAACATTTTAATTCTGTTGTTATTGCTAATATATGTTTGATGTAAATTAATATGTAATACCTTCTGGAGACATCTCAGGTACCATGGCCTCATAAGGTTCATCTAGGAATTTTGGTTCATTGTCATTGATATCCAAAACTCTGATGACAAATTCAGACTCAGGTTCCACAGCCCTTCCAGTAGTGGTGTCTATTACCTGGGCTCTCAGAATGTACAGGGATTGTTCTTCTCTATCAAGCTTCTGGTTGGCATATATGTCACCTGTGTTATCATCAATGTCAAAAATATTTCCAGCTCCAGCTCCCAATAGTTTGTACTGGAAAGAGTTGTTTCCATTATCTAAATCAGATCTTAGCTGCAAATACAAAGAGGGACAAGTGAGTATCCAGATATGCTGAAAAGAACAAGTCTGTTTTAATTATTTTGTTTTCAGGTATGCTAGTCCTTTCTCAAGTCAACAATTCTATGTAATATCTATATTATATTAAGGGAAGTAAAATATAAGCTTTAAAATTAAAATCTGTCATTATGCAGAGGAGGCTGAATTTTCAACACATAAATAACTTCAGAAATTTTAGTATTCTAAATAGAAGTAGATAACTCTAATGAAAAATATAGTAACTTAAAATATGTCTTTTTAATAAATTATGCACAATGTAATTGGTTTAAGCTTGTTTTGTGATTTCAGTGAAATTATATTTTCAAATATTTATATTATGGGACTTAGACAATGTGAGAAGAATAATAAATTATTTAAAACATAACAACTATTTAATCACCTATTTAAACAATGCTTTTCATTATTTTGTCTGAGAATACATGGAAAATATGGAAATAATTGAGAAAAAAATTAAGAAAGATAAGTAGAAGATGATCTCAGCAATACACTAGGTATTTATAATATAGAAAAATAATCACAAGTTTCTGTGTATTCATTCAAACCAGTAATCATAACATAGAGGTACATATTATTGATGTAATAAATCATATCTTTAGTGAAGGAAAGGAGGACTGAAAATTTTTGAAAGTTTGGCAGTGTCACGTGTTTTGGTATAGATTTATGAGTTTGACCATCTTATTATCTTTCTAATCCCAGAGCCTCTCCTAATCACAATTCTATAATGTGCTCTTTAGTGTATGGATTTTAATGGAAAATATAAACTCTTGTCTTCCAATACAATCTATTTACTTCTCAAATGTGCATTTTGTTCTTATGCTAAATTTTTTTTTCATTTTGAAAAAAGAAAGTAAATTTGTTCATCTTTTTTAGTTTATAAATTATTTAATTTTAAATGTATATATATATACTACAGGTGTTACTATGATAAAGTAAATTGATTGTCTTTTTTTATATAATAAATTACTTTTATATAAAGAGCTCCCCCTTTTAAAAATAATGATACCCTTGTTATTGCAGATGTGCCTTTTCTAGATTCATCATCCTTGAATATGCTCTTTAAAGTAAGAGCACCTCTCAAAATATGAAGTTAAACATGAAGTATAATCTTAATTCAGAACTTTCCATTTGCTTGACTTTAATCAAATTTTTATGTTACTGTGGAGAAAATCTACACATATCTATAACCACTAATTTAAAGTCTTAATGTATTAAGTATCAGTGCTATGTAATAAAGCAAAAACAAAAACAAATGAAAGAAACTTCAGCTTGTGTTTCCACTGTAGTTCATTTCATTTGCTATTCTTGATTATTCAGAAAGAGAAATATTCTGTTATAATGTCTAGAAATTAAGAAAAATAAATGTATGTTCCAATTGTTGTATCAAATGAAGAATGAATGGCCTATATTTTAAGGGTATCATATGCATATAATATAGTATGATAATCTACTCATCATTAAAATGATGTTGTTATATTTCATAATGAAAAATGTATGATAAGCACAGTTATGGTATAATTTTCAAAATCAATTAGATTTTGAAATGTTTGCTTTAATACTTACCTCTTGGTGTCACAAAATGCATTTGTTAAACATATTTTTGACACTAGTAAATATTGTGGAATTTATTTTATTTCTGTTTAAAAGATATTTTTCTCAATTAAATAGCCATTTTAAATTTGGCAAACCTGAGCCACTTGAAATTCCACTTAATTGTTCTTCTTTGTTTTAACCAATTTTAACAAATGAATTAAAAGGAAGTTTTCTTGGACACAGGAGTTACACTTTATCTTTACTAGCTTTTTAATTATGAGCCCTTAAGTTTATATTATAGTTCTCTTTTTTAAACCAATTATCTTTATGTTATTTAAGCCACATGAAATTGTTTAGAGGGAAAAATCTACTAGGATATTTCCATAATTTTTCAAAAATTTTTATTGTTTTGGTAGTAGGGATTGAACTTGAGGCCTTCACGTTGAGCTACTATAACCCCAGCTCTTTTTTAATTTTTGAGACAAAGTCCCACCAAGGCACAAATTTGCCCAGACTGGGCTGGAAATAGCCCTCCTCCTGTTTCATAGTGCTAGGATTACAGAGGAGCACTGAAGTGTATAGGAACAAAGGACAAAGCAGAGACTAAGAGTCTCAGAGCTTGACAGAGACTGACAGTATCAAGGCTGATGGTCTTAAGGCTTGCCCTTCCTGCTAAACCCACGAAGGTCACTGTGACCAAAGATGAGATGCTGAAACAACACCTTCCTTTCCTGTACTTCCTATCTCCCTATGTCTTCAAGACAACTTTTTTTTTTTTTTTTTGGTACTGGGGATTGAACTCGGGTCCTTGAGCTTGCCCACCATGCAATGAAACCACTGAGCTAAATCCCCGGCCCAACAACTGCATTGGGCGGGCATCGAACTTGGGCCTCCTGCATGGAAGTGAGAATTCTACCACTGAACCACCAATGTGAGACTTCAAGACAAACTTTAAAAAAAGTAAAAAAAAAGCAACATTACCTTCACCTTCCTACACTACTAAATTCTGATTCTGTAAAATTCCCCTTGCTCCCCTGCCCTGGCTAAAGAACAGATAAATATAAGAACAAACTTAGAAACAGGCCTCAGACTCTGGAAGATGACTTCCACTGGGCCTGCTAGATAGCAAACAAACCTGCCTTTCCCTTCAATTCTCTGAATTCTCCCCTCTTCCTTGGTCTGCCAACCCTCCGAGAGCCATTTTAGCATCACCACCTTTGGCTTCCAAAAATACATTCTATAGAATGAAAAGAGGGATAGGCAAAATCAATCAATCTATGATAGGAGGAAAATGGAGGGTGGTGTAAGGAGCAGCAAAAGGAGAAACAACTAGAAAATGTGCCAACCACAAAGGTAGCATTTGTTCCAGTCACATGGGTCTGCTTCCCTGCAGTATCATATTTACTAGTTATTTGCTTGTCACCCTGTTCAGTGGCACTCTATGGAGCTCATTGCAAATGTGGTAGGCATGACTCAGAGTTAACTGTCAAGAACTTGATGAACTACATGTTTTGTGCTTTACCTACAGATATCTTAAAAAATCACATGGGGGGAGAAATAGTGTTTGTAGCAGGCATGATCACACTCTCACAAACACATGTTTTCAATTTGCTTGCCCAAGAGCTAAGTCTTTGGTTGAATGTACTCATATATGTTTGGCTGATAAGTGAAATTTCATGGAATCTGGACATCTACTAACTGCAGCAATCTTGAATATGCTAGGAGAAGACAGTTAATAAATACTGAGTACTTTGCCCTTTGGACCCAATTTAATTTTAGTGCAAATTAATTAGCCGTTAAACTTATTTCAGTTCATTCAACTAGGCAAAGAGGCTTCTGGAAAAGGAAAAATAGACATGACATAGTAATTACCTAGGTTTAAAGAAAACTAAATAATTATAAAACTCAAAAACATAAATAGATATTCTATCTCACTAAGAAAAATTTCTTAAAAATACATTCTTCTGAAAGTGAAAATAATTATTCTTTGTACTTCAAATTCTCTAATCAAATGAAATATGTAACCTCTTGAAGTTCCTTGGCTGTAAAAGGATATTGTGTTAATTTGCTTCTTTAAAGATGAAAGAGGGGTCCATCAACAGCTACTTAACAGAAATTCAGGCTAAGTATTGTTGGTAAATAAAAATTGACTCCATATGGCTTCTTTGACCAATTACCAAAAACAAAACCATTAAATTTTCAGAAGTTTATAAATGAAAATAGCATTTTCATAAAGGATACTAAAGTAAAATGTGAAATCCAATAATTTTTCTCTTCCTTTTGATTTTTAGTGGATATTTTAGATGCTTCCAAATCTGAAAATTTAAGATTGTGTTTGAGGATTTCAACAGTTTCATTGAGAAAAAAAAGGCGGGGGGGGGGGGACTCATCAAACACTAAAACTTCCCTAACTCATTTTTGTGACATTGTTACAGTGCCCTTTAGTAAAACACTTTCAGAAAATAGGTACCCGTCCAATGAGATGCCTAGTTGTGTTCATTTCCTCTGGGACAAAAAAATGGTTCCACACCCAGCCACGCTTCACTCTCAAGTGAGATCCCACTGGTTGCTTAACCTTCTCGGTTTTATAGTTTTCTGCAGCCTTGTGACAAGGCCATAGGAGAGGAATTCCCAGGATAAAAGATAGGAAGATATAACAATCCATTCTGATGTCTCTGGATTCCAGCTGTTACTCTTCATAGGAAACAGGACGTTGCGAACAAAAATCTCGTGTTTCTTTATAATCTTTTTTTAAAAACTTAAATGTCTTTTACATTCCTAAAGCGTAAGAACAAAACAAAATTTGACATATAAGAAATAACATTTTTTCATAATTGCTAAAGACAGGTAACATCTCCATCTAAGACAAAATAGACTAAAAACATACATTTAATTTATCTTCCAATTAAGCTGCTTGATTATATTTTGTAATTCACCAGTAATTTTATTGAAATAATTACAAATTTCTACTCAGGCATCATTTGTTTTAAACTGCAGTCATAAATCTGCCTGAAGGTTGAAAATTTATTGGAGCATTCTCCTTGATTGACAGCTGACACTGAGATAGAATTTTTATTATTATTTAATGTGCTTACTTCAACTTTCCGTCCTAGCCAAAAACTCAAGCTAGTTTGTTGAAGCAACAGTCAAGCCAGAGAAATAAAAGTAATATATCTCTTTTTTCACTCAATAGAACTAAACTTTCTCTCTTCTATTCCCAAAGTATGATATCTTAAGCAGTTGAATAGACAAAATAAAAAATTAGGCTTAATACCTGAGAGATTTAATAATCAATTAGACTAAAATATTCTGACTAGAATTTCTTTGCAATGTACTTATTTTTTATAATTAGATATGGAAAAGGAGCATTTATTTTAAAGAAGTAAAGGCATTTTTAGATAATAAACACAAAAATATGATGTCTGGGGAAAATGGCTCAGTGTTTACAATATGTAAGTTGGGTATAAAAACTATCTTCTATTACTTAAATATTAAAACATAAAACAGACATGTTGAGTTTTACATTTAAAATCTCCCATTTAACTAAGGCAGAACTTACCAATTGTCTCTCTCAGGACTGGTACTTCTTATCCTTATATGTAATTGAATAGCTTTGCATTTCCCCCATCTACACAGTCCTTACATAAAAAAAAATTGGATGTATTTCTTTGGCTTTCATAAAAAAAAATAATTTAGTGAGTTCCACAGTATCGTTTACTATCACATAATCAACAGCAACGCCATAGGATCTCAGGTCAGGAGTTTCTTTGCACAGTCTTGTTTTGAATATGCTGAAAATATTTTATGAACATCTCGAGAGAATATTTTTAGAACTTGGACTATGGTTAGGAAGGTTGTTTAAAAACACCTAATTAAGAAAGAACACGGGAATTCTGTGTTCCCTCTGTATTTCCTTGGAGTGAATATATTCTAGTAATTTACTTATTGAAGAGATTCAGAAGGAGGTGAAAATTCAGGATGAATTTCATCCTTAAATTGAATATTTAAAATGCATACATCTATATTAATAACTAATTTATAAT